GGCACTGTGACTTACGCATATATTTGCAAATGCATGCAAACAAAACCCTTTGCTGTTAATGTAAATGGGTAGACATGGCCAATTCGGTTGTTTTGCAGGCTGACTGGTAAGTGTGCTGGGAAATCCTTTGTTTATGTGCATTGCCCTTCCTTGCTGCAAATGCCAGTTATAGGTTGGGGTGGGTGCCACTTTTTGTACAGTTGGACAAATTGGGTGCAGGGACGCACTGGACGTCTTCACTGCCATTGTGCTCTTGCTTGGAGTCACAAGCGTCCTTGTGCCTTTAAGGAAGGGTGAGCTCCCTCCAGGCATACCTGCCCTTAATATATCCATTCTTGTGTTCCTACTATGGAGATTCTAGAAATTCAGGACTACAGTTAGGGCTGCAGTATATACAGAGGTCCCTTGGCATGAGCACTGCAGCTTACACATATATTTGCAAATGTGTGCAAACAAAACCCTCTGTTTTTAACGTAAACTGTTAGACAGGGCCAATTTGGTTGTTTTGCAGGCTGGCTGGTAATTGTGCTGGGAAATCCTTTGTTTGTTTGTTTGTGATATGCATTATTTTTGTTGTCAGTGTACCTCTAGGGAATTTTCCTGTCACAGATTCACCAAAAAAGTGAGAAGAAATTTCCCAAAGTGAGGGGCATTCCCCTTTTGGTTGTTCCCAAAATAGGTGTCCTTGTCGGAAGATTTCCCATTGCCTTTTGTTCTGGGGACAACTAAAGTTTTGTGTTTTCCCTCACTTTTTTTCTACATGACAATGGTCAATGGTCATTGTGCGAAAAGGGGGACACATACAGCAATTAAAACTTGACAGATGGTCTAACCCTTCCACAACAAACACAAAAAAAGCTTTGCCTAGAGGTACACTTTAACATTTGTGTTTGCTGCTGTGTTGATAATTAAACATGGACCTGCCATGAAACACATTCTGGGGCTGCCTCATTACAAGCTGTCTAGTAGCACCCAGACTACCTGCAGACTGTTAGTTGGACCGTTGAGGAGCAGAAGCATATTGAGGGAATCCAGAGTTCTGTAAATATTTGTTCAACTGAAAACAATATGCAAACCAACATAGCCCTGACTGGTTTAAAGTATATGTCAATCCTTACCTTGTAAAACAACCAATTCAGTTGAAAATAAAAATACAAGGAAAAATAAATAAATAAATAATAGATACATTTTTCTTTTATTTCAAATACCTTTTTTCTTTTAATGGAGTATCACATGACCTCTGTTCTCAGCTGCTGCATGAGGGGCTTGGAGAGGTGTGGGTAGAGACTGCAAAGGGGGGGGGGGGTGTGTTAGCAAGAGGCAGAGAAAGAGCATTACACTGATCTTCCCAGAGAATGTCTCTGGAAGGTGGGCGTGTCAGCAAATTTGGCCATTGGAGGAAGGGTAGGCTGTGATCCCAGCACAGCCAGAAAACTGACAATGCTGGGATGGATGTGCTTCTATTTCTAGTGTGGTCAGATTGAAATAGGAAAGCAGGAGGACTGGTAGGATCACCAGGGATTTCACACAAAGGAAGCAATACAAAGAGGACAGGATGCTTTTTAACACAAGTTCATGGTACAGCAGACACATATTAGGAATATGAAATATTTGGATAACATACAGTATAATACAATATCCTCTTCAATTACATTAGTTATATTTAAAAAGAAAAACTTTAATATTTACAGTATACTATAGTTTACTCCCCAAGTTGTGACCTCAGTGCTCAGTCAGAGGCTGCGCCCTGCAGCTCTAACAGAGCAATGGGAGAGTGACAGTACTAAGGCGTGAGCGGCCAATTGCCAGGGCTGAACACTCATGTGGGGGTGGAAGTGTCAGTTCTGACACTATTTGACACAGCTGCTTACCCAGCGGGAATCCTGCAGCAGGAAGAGCGGATTGGTGAGTATCCTTTACTGTTTTGGGGGTGCTATCACAAGGAACTATCAATTTACCCTAAATAGGAAAAGTTACAGTGTCTCTTTAAGCAACACTCCTTTAAAATACAAGGATACTAAAAATTGTTTGAAAGACAACACAAGATTGGACATACTCTATACTTGCAATTTTAACGATAGCTTTGGACAATAACATTGGCCACAGTTCAGCTTCACACATTGTTGCTGGAAGAAGCAACTTGTCATCTTCACTAAATGGAAGAGTATCATCCACTACAACCTTTCTCCAGCATCCCTGTGGAAATTAAGCAACAGAAAGACGTAAAGTAATAAAATACATGTACACAAACAGAAACTGTGATTCAGAGCAAGTTATCCAACTCTCCTACACAAAACCCTCCCACTGCTTTCCTCTTGTGGGCTGGGTGAAATTATTGAAGGCTTAAATGAACAGAAGTCACCAAAATTGTAGCTTAGCACCCCCGCATGCACACTTTGCGTGACAGCCACTAATAATCTGTACTAATTTGGAAGCCTTTGAAATCCACTTCCGACTTGGTTCCTTTCACTGGTATATGTATATATAAATATCATTGCCAAGTGAAGTTGCAACGTGCCATTTATTCTAAACAACTGCTCCAAAGCTTTAATTTGTCTTTGAAAACATCTGCATCATATATTATTAAAATTGGGCATTTGCAAATTTATTATGGCATGCCAACACAGAAGCAAAATGTCAGCAAAACAACTAAATAATAACACTAGAGAGAAGTGGGTGGAAGAGATAATCTACTGTATCATTACATAAGGAAACTTTTCCTTATTTTCCAGTAATTTTGCACCATAGATCTCTAGTACTTTGGTAGTTGGACAATGTATTTTATCATAAGCAATTTATTTAAAGCAGACTTTTAACCAAAATCCTGCCCTGAATACTGTTAAGGAAACAACCGCTGTAGAAAAATATATTTTAAGGATGATAAAAATACATAAAAAGAGCTTCAAAGTGAATCTGTACATCACATATGGGAATAAAGTGTAACTCCAGATTGTAAAAGAGCAGGGAAAGGTACTTTGAAAAATGAATGCATATTTCATACACCATATCAGTATCAAGTCACAACATTTTTACAGGAATACAGACAAGCCCATTCTAACTGGATATCTTACAAAAAAACTCTAGGACTACAGTATAGCTTCCTTTCTTAGGTAGGGTTCTTGTAGAAATTGTTAGGGGTTTGTGAGCAGCAATGGTGGATTGTACTACTGTCTGATAATGACTACATAGTTATAAGAACAATGACACTTGGCAGTACGGTATCAGTGGAGCCTCTCTTCTGATGTAACAATCTCTTTATCTATCTGTGAGGGTCACATTTTTCCCCCTGACCTTCCCGAATGCAATTGACACTTTTTCCACTAACCTCTAATGAAGTGGTACATTTCTTCTAGTGATATCCAAAAGAAAGCGGTATACTCCCTCCTTGACCCCAAATGCAATAGGCATTCTTTTCACTAACCCATAATACAAGTGGGTATTCCTTCTGACACTGACCACTATTGTAAGGGGAACCTTCACCTACAGAACAGGAAATTAAAGGGGGGCTTCTGTATTGTCCACAAATATAAGGGCGCTCTTTTCCACTGAGCACCAATCTGTAAAAGTGCACTACAGTGATCCCCAATGTAAGTAGGAGTAAGAAGAGACTAAAACTTTACTGTCTGCATGCCTTTTTTCTTTTTCTTCCTTTTTTATGAAGATTATGTATTATATACTGTGAGTTGTAGATATACTAGTTTTTACTAGGGGCTCCTTAAGACCTTTACAGAAAAAAGACTTGAGAAAGGTTACACTAGAGATAGTATATTCTCTCAAAAGGCAGTTCTCAAATGAAATTCTGAGAAATTCTAATGGCGTGTACTGTGCCAGGACAGGGTCCTCTGGCACCCAGGTCCAAGATGCCAAATGTACTTTTCTCCCCACCTGAGACAAATAGTGCTTCACATTTATGCATGCAGTGGTCAGGCTGATGCAGGAGAAATTACAGCTGTTGTCTGCGGACCCAAGAATTGCCACCTTTTAGTCGAAAATAAACTCTAGATGTTCCAGTGCACAGATCAACCCCCTCAGGGTCTGGAGTCTTCAGTATAACTAATTTATAAACTCCAAAAATAAGACTTGCCCCATAACTTCTATAAACCCAATACAACCACCAAATATAACAAACAAACATACAAAACAAACAATGTAACAAACAAATATAAAACTGGAGCATACATTCCATAAAAGAGAATACAGAAAAGAACAATCATAGATTTTGAAGGCATTGCCCAAAAGAAAAATAAAATCCCTTTAAAAATTATTGCTCATCATTGTTTATAAGAGTCATTACAAAAAACACGTCATAAAGTGCAATTCTAATGACAAGACATGAAGATTCTTCACAATATCTCTTAGTGCCTTGCCCCAGTGTCAGTGGGCATAATTCACTAAGCGGTATGTTACCGCATCAAGTATATGGTAGGATACCGTATAGCATTTTTTTTTTTAAGTTTGAATTCACAAAAAAACGCTACTAAAAACCTTATGGCAAAATTAAAAAAAAAATGGCGTGGGGTCCCCCCCCAAAAAAAAAAACATATTAGATCATTATCCGAGCATGCAGTCCGAAAGGTCAGGAAAAGGGGGAGGATGAGCAAGTGCCCCTCCCTCCCTTGAACCATACCAGTCCACATGCCCTCAACATGGGCAGGGATGCTGTGGGGCAGGGGGGCACCGTCATGGCACCTTCTCCCCATGTTGATGGGGACAAGGGCCTCTTCCCCACAACTGTGGCTGGGAGCCCCCAGATCCCAGCACTCCCTATGTGAATGAGTATGGGGTACATGGTACCATTACCCATTCACAAACAAAAGTGTAAAAAAAAAAAAGACAGGAGACAGTCTTTGACAAGGCATTTATTAACCACCTTCCGCCCGCCATATAGTACAATGACGGGCGCAAGGTGGTTCTCTCGTTCTGATAGGACGTCATATGATGTCCTTCCATTCTCATCACGCATGCGCGGCTCAGGGAGCGCGCAGCGCGGCGAGCGCCGGTGCACTGTGTCCCTCGGACACAGAGGATCACGGAAAGAGCCGAAGATGTCGGCTTGGTCATGTGATCAGCTGTGTCCAATCACAGCTGATCACATGTAAACACGGAAATGCCGGTTATCGGCATTTCTCTCCTCTTGAGCTGTCACGCTGACAGCTTGAGAGGTGAGGAGAGGACATGTACACTGATCATCAGGGCACTGATGATCAGTGTGCCCTGATGATCAGTGTGGCCCCAGAAGTGCCACCTGTCAGTGTCCATCAGTGCCAGCAGTCAGTGCTCATCAGTGCCATGTGCCAGTGCCCATCAGTGCCACATCAATGCCACATATCAGTGCATACCAGTGCACATCAATGTCACATATCAGTGCCCATCTGAGCTGCCTTTCAATGTCACCCATCAGTGCCACCTACCAATGCCAATCAGTGCCACCTATCAGTGCTGCCAATCAGTGCCACCTATCAGTGCCAGTCAGTGTCGCCTATCAGTGCGCATAAATGCCGCCTATCAGTGCCAGTCAATGCTGCCTAACAGTGCCACTCAGTGCCACCTACCAGTACCAGTCAGTGCTGCCTATCAGTGCCCCCTATCAGTGCCATATATCAGTGTCATTTATCAGTGCTGCCTTTCAGTGCCCATCAGTGATGCCTGTCAATGCCCATCAGTACAACCTATCAGTGCCACATATCAGTGTCCATCAGTGCAGCCTATCAGTGCCCATCACTGCAACCTCATTAGTGCACATCAGTGAAGGAGAAAAATCACTTATTTACAAAACTGTATAACAAAAACTAAGAAAAAACATTTTTTTTTTCAAAATTTTCAGTGGTTTTTGGTTTGTTTAAGAAAAAATAAAAATCCCAGAGGTGATAAAATACCACTAAAAGAAAGCTCTGTCTCAAAAAAATGATAAAAATTTCATATGGGTACAATGTTGCATGACCGCTCAATTGTCATTCAAAGTGTGACAGCGCTGAAAGCTGGAAATTGGCCTGGGCAGGAAGGGGGTATAAGTTAAAAAAATGTCCCCTGAAGTAGATCCAACATCAATCATGATGTCCGCTGCCACCAACCTGGAAAAAAGGAAAAAAAAAAAAGGCTCCGCTCCTGATGGCAGGAGCCAGTGTCGGGAGTGGAGCCTTCTTTTTTCTTTTTTTCGGGTCGGCGGCGGGCATCGTGGTTGACATTGGATCAACTTCGGGGGACATTTTTTTATCTTCTTTTAATAACGAACTTGTCAAAGTCTTTTTTCAAACTACAGTTTTTCTTTTGTGAATGGGTAGCGGTACTGTGTACCGCATACTCCTTCACATGGGGGGAGGGCCGGCATCTGGGGGCTCCCTTGCTAAAGGGGGCTTCCAGATTCCGATAAGCTCATCACCCACAGACCCCGACAACCACCGACCATGGTTGTGGGGAAGAGGCCATTGTCCCCATAAACATGGGGACACGGTGCTTTGGGGGGAGGGCATGTTGAGGGCATGTGGCCTGGTATGGTTCAGGAGGGGGGGTACTCGCTCGTCCCCCCCTTTCCTGACCTGCCAGGCTTCATGCTCAGATAAGGGTCTAGTATGAATTTTGGGGGGATCCAAGTTTGGCATGGGGGTTCCCCTCAAAATCCATACCAGACCCAAAGGGCTTGGTATAGATAGAGGGGGTAAAAAAGAAAAAACCTCAGCGCCCAGGACTCTCCTATTAAACACACAATTCCCCGTGAGATGCTGCTGTACACAGGTGCAAAAACCAAAAAAACTTATATCAATAAATACCAGCGCAAACCCACATAATAAATTGCATTACCCAACCTATTAAACAAACTTAAAAACCGTGACACAAAACCACTTTTTGTGCTAGTAAAATAAAAAATATATATAAATAAATATATAAATAAGTTTTAAAATTCATAAGTCCAGTGACAAAAAAATCCCAAAAAATTAACAGTCCCGTGACAAAATAGGTCAAATTGTAATTAAATTGTAATTTTCATCGGATTCTTCCGTGCCTTTGATCCCTTCACCATCCACCAGTGCAAAAACCAACATTAACCACACTCACCAGATATTAGTGAGTCACACGCCTTTCAGGAATATTAAGGGCTCCTGGACCCCCTTTACTTTTTATGAGACCTCCAAATACTGCTTCCTCTTGTATATGGGTACCTCTTCTGGTTACTCCTCTCACCGAATCCCCCAAGGAAAATCAGGAAGAAGAAAAGATACCGTAGTGGTTTCTCATCAAAATAATCTCTCCAGACCACTCACATTTTAGCGGGATATAACCCGCATTTTATTTGAAACAACAACGATTTCCTTTAAAAAAACGATCCACTTTCCAAGTAAAGCGACTTTTGCATAAAAGACCCCACAGCCTAGTATACAGCAGGATGGCAGACCTCAGATGCAGACTCATCCACTATGCTAAGATGGCCCCTTGGAACGCACCGCTCGGCGTGCGTTCCACTCACCGGAAATGACGTCAGACGCCATAACAGGCAACCGGAAGTGCGTCAACGCGTTTCGCCCCACCCACAGGGCGTTATCAAGACGCTCTTTTCCACTTCCAAGCCGTTTATAAAGCAATGGGAGATCCCTCCCACTAATTAATCTGGACACAAACCTGGACACAAACCTGTCCATCACCGCCATCCCTCTGTATACCCATGTGGGGTCCCCTTACAACAGAAACAGATGCATTTAAATTAGATGCATTCCAATTAAAAAACATAATTTTATAACCTTAAGTCTTCTACCCCCAAACATAAAGGTAAAGACAGGGAATTACAATACATTAAATAAAAATCTATATGGCAATAAAATAAAAAAAAAAATAAAGATAAAAATAAATAAAAATAAAAAATAAAAATAAAGATAAAAATAAATAAAAATAAAAAATAAAAATAATAATAATAAAATTAAAATAAAATTAAGAAAAATAAAAATAAAAATAAATATAAAAATAAAAATAGAAATAAAAAAATAAAAATAAATAATAAAAAATAAAAATAAAATAAAAATAAATAATTATAAATAAAATAAAATAAAAATAAATTAAATAAAAAAGAAAGTAAAAATAAATTAGATAAAAAACAAATAAAGGATTGAAAATCCTTGTAATGCTTTTTCCTGTCCCCTTTCAGGGATCTACAAGCCAAACATCTCCCACACTTGAAAAAACCAACCCTATCTAAAAAAGTAACCATTTTCTTAGGTACATCTGGAACATTTTTTACAAGTCGAGATCTTAAAGTTGGTGGTTTTCTATATATAAACAAGGGTTTACTAGGTAGCACTTTCCTAAGAGTTTCGTCCCTCATTAGAATTGACCAATATTTTTTAATGATGTTTTCAACCAATTTATAATGCTTAGAATATCCTGTAATGAAAGCCACATCTCCCAACTTCTTTTTATTTTCTTTTTTCTTTAAGAGTTCATCTCTACTAATCTTTCTAACCTGTTCCAATGAAACAGCCAAATTTTCTTCTCCATAGCCTTTCTCCCTAAACCTTTGCAATAACACCTCAGACTGCTCCAAGAAGTTTTTTCAAGTGTGGGAGATGTTTGGCTTGTAGATCCCTGAAAGGGGACAGGAAAAAAGCATTACAAGGATTTTCAATCCTGTTATAATGGAGCATCCCATAAGATCAATAAGTTTATATCATGTGACAGTACGCATGTCACCTATCTGCTGGAGTGCTCTTGCAAACTCCAGTATATAGGGAGAACAATGAGAAAACTTGCCACCAGATTGGGAGAACATATTAGAAATATAAAGAAGGGATTCAAACATCATAGTTTATCATATCATTTTAGAAAGCATCATAATAGAGATCCGGCATCGTTGAAATTTTGTGGGATAGATAGAGTAGAAGCCCCTTGGAGAGGAGGAAATATGGTAATAAATGTTTCTCAAAATGAAACGCAGTGGATTTATCAAATGGGTACATTGTATCCTAATGGGTTGAATGCAGATATTGATATAAATTGCTTTTTGTCCAATTGGTAATATATAGTTAATGTCCGAAGTGCGTTTTCATGATTAGGTGTTTTTGTATTTTTATATTATATATAATGTTTACATATTATATATATTTTTTTTTTATATAATTTTGGAATTTATCTTTATTTGTTTTTTATCTAATTTATTTTTACTTTCTTTTTTATTTAATTTATTTTTATTTTATTTTATTTTATTTATAATTATTTATTTTTATTTTATTTTTATTTTTATTATTTATTTTTATTTTTTTATTTCTATTTTTATTTTTATATTTATTTTTATTTTTCTTAATTTTATTTTAATTTTATTATTATTATTTTTATTTTTTTAGTTTTATTTTTATTTTTATTTATTTTTATCTTTATTTTTATTTTTATTTTATTGCCATATAGATTTTTATTTAATGTATTGTAATTCCCTGTCTTTACCTTTATGTTTGGGGTAGAAGACTTAAGGTTATAAAATTATGTTTTTTAATTGAAATGCATCTAATTTAAATGCATCTGTTTCTGTTGTAAGGGGACCCCACATGGGTATACAGAGGGATGGCGGTGATGGACAGGTTCCAGGTTTGTGTCCAGATTAATTAGTGGGAGGGATCTCCCATTGCTTTATAAACGGCTTGGAAGTGGAAAAGAGCGTCTTGATAACGCCCTGTGGGTGGGGCGAAACGCGTTGACGCACTTCCGGTTGCCTGTTACGGCGTCTGACGTCATTTCCGGTGAGTGGAACGCACGCCGAGCGGTGCGTTCCAAGGGGCCATCTTAGCATAGTGGATGAGTCTGCATCTGAGGTCTGCCATCCTGCTGTATACTAGGCTGTGGGGTCTTTTATGCAAAAGTCGCTGTACTTGGAAAGTGGATCGTTTTTTAAAGGAAATCGTTGTTGTTTCAAATAAAATGCGGGTTATATCCCGCTAAAATGTGAGTGGTCTGGAGAGATTATTTTGATGAGAAACCACTACGGTATCACGCTATGGTCTTTTCTTCTTCCTGATTTTCCTTGGGGGATTCGGTGAGAGGAGTAACCAGAAGAGGTACCCATATACAAGAGGAAGCAGTATTTGGAGGTCTCATAAAAAGTAAAGGGGGTCCAGGAGCCCTTAATATTCCTGAAAGGCGTGTGACTCACTAATATCTGGTGAGTGTGGTTAATGTTGGTTTTTGCACTGGTGGATGGTGAAGGGATCAAAGGCACGGAAGAATCCGATGAAAATTACAATTTAATTACAATTTGACCTATTTTGTCACGGGACTGTTAATTTTTTGGGATTTTTTTGTCACTGGACTTATGAATTTAAAAATTATTTATATATTTATTTATATATATTTTTTATTTTACTAGCACAAAAAGTGGTTTTGTGTCACGGTTTTTAAGTTTGTTTTATAGGTTGGATAATGCAATTTATTATGTGGGTTTGCGCTGGTATTTATTGATAGATAGAGGGGGGAACACTATGCCGTTTTTTAAATTATTTTTTAATTGCTGGAAATTCTTTTTTTTTTACATTCAGC